TGTCCCGTCCTGTACTTACTTATCAAAACCCATAAGTTAGTATCCAGCGATGATCTCGTGTCTACCGATCCACCGTTATTTAAGGTTAGACCTAACATTAGCTGCGTAGACGGGTCAACGGATAGGGTAACGTGGTTAATAACCCTAATACTTACTCAGTTGTTGAAGTACATTCCAGCTCATCTAAAGAACACCAAAATGTTCCTGGATCGTCTACGTAACGCGCGACCCAACAGCGCGTACGTGGTGGAGTCCTTCGACTTCACTGCCCTGTATACGAACGCATCGAATGACTCCGCTATGCAAGCCATAAACGAGCCCCTTATACAACACAAAGGAGCAATAAACACGTACGGCTTCTCGATTCAGCAGTTGATGACACTCTTAAAGGAGTGCCTAAACTGCTCAATCTTCAGATGGTCCGGGAGGTGTTACGCACAAATGAGATGGCTTGCAATGGGACAACGACCGGCACCAAGCCTTGCCATTGCATTCATGTCTAAGGTGGAAGCGCCAGTAATCGACCTCGGTCGGTTACTCTACTGTAGATATATATGGATGACTGCTTGGTCATTTGTTCAACGCAAGAAGAAATCGACAGATGTTTCGAGTTGTTGAACACAACACACAGTCAGAGTATATTAAATTCGCCCGAAAAAAACCAAAAGAAGACTGGCTTTCATTTCTGAACGTGCAAATTAGCCTATCAGAAAACGGCTACATTACGAAGTGGTATCGAAAGCCAAGTAGTAAAAACATCCTAGTTCATTACCTCTCCTCTCATCCCTCTCACACGAAAAGGGCGCTTGTGAGAAACATGTATCGAACAGCTACCAGCTTGTGCACAGGAAGACAACAGAGAGAGGAGTCCCGGAACTTGGCACGGCAAATAGCCATTTTGATTGGCTACGAAACCGTAGCTCGAGATAAGTGTAGAGGAAACCACAGGTACCCCAACGATAACTCTAGCGACAACAAGGTCCCGTTTATACTGCCCTTTATTTCAAGTGAAGTAAGTGCAGATATAAAACGCTGCTTAATAAGGACCAGTCTAGAGAATTCGGTAACGATAATCGAAATACTACCGAGTAATCTAAGGCGCCAGCTAGTTCGTAACCGCCTATACGACCGTCTATGTGCAACGCAAAATTGCGTAATTTGCCTCAATGGTAGAGACGGTGACTGCATGAGTTCGGGTACAGTCTATCTGATCTCTTGTAAAGCGTGCGAGGACGAATACGCTGGCGAAACGGGTAGACCACTCTGCGTGCGTATAAAAGAACACCTAGTCGGCAAACGTAAACCGAATATTCCACTACGCACGCATAGGACGCAGAGTCATAACGGACAAGATTTTGAAGTAGGGGTTGCGATCCTCGCGCAAGAATCGAGAACACAAGCGCGCAAAACTCTAGAGGCATTCTGGATTAATTCCAAGAATCCGAAACCCGAGGAGGAATGCATCATTATCACGCGCGATATTGGACAGTATATAAACCTGTTATTCTGATGGGAGCAGCACATTACGCTTCCATGTGAATTTGGTGCGGTCGGTCTTCACGCGACATACTCAGTGGAAGACTCATTGAAAGCGGTGAGTGTGCAGAGCTATGCTAAATGTGATTGAAATCTTGGTTTAGCGTTTTCTCTGTTTGGTTATGGAGGTGTTTGGCCGAATGGATTGCTGTCAAGTTGACCCTTCCAGGCTTCCAGGATCCGCCGAAACGTCAGCTTGTGCGTAAATAAAGAAATAAAGTAGCACCTCGTGTTTGCTGAACAGAAGTAGAAAGAATAAAGTGTTTATAATGTTGAGCTTACACGAGATTGATACGAGATGTTTATTCGGCTAACGTTTCGAACGTCTTCGTCTTCATCAGAGCCGACGATCCTTGTCAATGGTCCACAGTTGTTCCTCTTGATGTGGCATCTTCGTTGTCGTAGCAAGATGAATATTCCTCAGTCGAACACTGCACGGGTGAGGTACCTCACCCGGCGACGCTCTTTTAGAATAGAGTAACACCTTGAATTTTCTAAACAAGAATATCGAGATTTCGAACAGTCTTTTTTCATTGGCACATAGAATGTTGCTCAAGCGTGATTTTTTTCCCTGAAACCGTGATAAAACGTCTCCAAGCCCGCTCCACATGTTGGCAGTCCCCGAAAAGGAATTAGGTTTGTTGCTTCAAGAGTGGAATTATTCTGGAAGACAGCGACTTCTGTGAGGGTAGCGAATCCTGAAATTACTCCTCTGACTCTGGAGGACGATGTGGCATACAGAATAGAAATAGACGACTTTAATACGGATTTTTATGCTCTCAAATCAGTAATCCTGAAATTGATTACTCTGGTAATCTTTGTACATGTTTCTTTATTTTTGGTATTTTGGTAACCTTGGAAAATGGATATTCTCTTTTATAAATATGGAAATTTTTTCATTACTTGGCGTTGTTAAGGGCTATCATTAGACACTTCGTCCTCCACCTCTATTGAGAGAACCACGTGGCGATGTATAGAATTACAATGGCACCATGAATAGAATTCGCAATCCTTTCTCAATCCTTTTCAATTCTGGCATAGCTGACACACTTTTGGGAGTAATAGTCTGAAAGCCTCTGAGATATTCTCGACTTTTTAGAAAGAGCAGGAACTAATTAAATTCTGCAAAACCTGGATCTTAGGCCAGCTTGAAACCCGTGACTACCCTTTACGGGAGTTCACGTGCAACCCACTGGACCATCGACGCCCTTGTGTTAGGGTATCATACATTATCTGTCAAAGGGAGCTTGTCGGGGAGCACATATCGGGACTGAACCCAGTTAAGCTAAAGCTGCATTCAATATAACAATCTTCCATCAAAAAAAAGTAAAAACAAGCTGAGAGAACGGCAAAGCAAGAGCCTCGGTAGTGCAGTGGGTACTATGTAAGCCCACGAAATTGAAATCACTGGTTCGAAACTAGCCTAAAGTCTCAGTTTTGTATTTTGTTTTTTTTTCTTAACACCATTCTGGTTGTATATCAACTAACACCTTGCCAAAAATTTAGTAGGTAGTAAACAAAAGGTTAAACATCTAATCGCAATCTGCAAATCAGATGTGAGAAATGTGACTAATTCTTCGGAAATCTCTTTCCAACATAATTCTTGTAGTGACTAATATCTAGTGTATGATAACCATCGTATTGACAGAATTAGAGATGTTTAGAAAAAATAAATTAAGCAAAATGTGATTTAACTTCGCATGATGTGAGACGGTCGTCAGCTTTCTTCATGCTCTTCAAATAGTTTTAAAGCAAGTCCATCTACTCATCATACTGTCAACATTCACTTATTCTGGCAGTGGTTGTTTACCGTTGTTTACTCGCATCGTTCAACATCGGCCAAAAAACGGCATTCAACTACTTGCACAAGTATTTAGTCAAAAACGTCTCAAAACTCCAAGCATGGATCTATTCATATTGTTTACTTACTTGGATACTTGGACGGTCCGTTTTCACGAGCTGTGCGGACCCTAGCACATTTGCCATTCGTTCCTTTCTCTCGCAATCGTAGTCCATGGTGGTGGTCTTCTTCGATCATGGTAGCGTATGCGAGACTCGTACCTCGATCTGTAAAACAACTGCAGCTGCGGATACAGCTGATTAACTTTGTTCACGAACACGTCTGCCTGTGTAGGTGGTCGTCCTAGGAGACGTTTGCATTCTCTTGGAGTCCACTCTACTGTTCTTTTTGTCCATCTGTCGTCGGCTCTTCTCATTATGTGACTGGCCCATTTATGTTTCGCTGTCGATTTATATTCTCCTGGATCTCGAAGATGTAACAGATTTCGAAGGTCAGAGCTTCGCATTACGGCTACATATTGAGAGTGCTGGTTATATTTCAGAATACATTGCTCAAGCGCTCTGTGAGTAGTTCGAAGCATTCTTAATGTAGTTGAGGTATCAACCCACGTCTCTGCAACACAACAGAGCGTTGGGAGGACGGTAGAATTGAGGAGAAGAGCGCGGATTTTCGGGCCCTTCAGTTGGTCGGCGGCTTCTTTGAGAGGCCTGAATGCTGTCCAAGCTGCTCTCCTTCTTCTATGTCATTTAATTATTGTTGTTCTAATTGCCAATTTTTATTATCATGTTGTTCCACTATTCTTAAAATGTTTTTCGTTTCTTCTTTCTTGATATGTAAGCTGCTGGTAATTTTTATGAAAACCCTGACAAAAAATGTGTCAGCAACGCCATAATACGCAACTATTCACAAAGGTTACTATTCTGGTGACTGTGACCTGTCTCACCTATCGTCGCGCCGATTCTCGAGTGATTTAATAGGACAACAGGAAATCTTCCATTTCGCTTTTCCGCGTACAAGAGCAGCCCAGTAGGTTCTGCTCGCTACAAAGACTCGTTGAGTATCATACCTTTCTTCTACGATTTTCATGAAGAACTCTGACCATCGATCGGGTCGGTGCACTTCCTGCCAGTACGTTTGAAATCGGGAAGATTGCAGTCACTCTTGTCCATCGGTAGGCGTTCGTACCGCGTAACATATTAAGAAACGACGTACATAGAAGTACTTGTACTCATTTCTCTACTTGTACGTTTCCTTCAGAAACCGATTCTCTCCATTAAACCAAAGTTGATGTATTCAATACCGAAAAACCTTCTGCCCAATTGTCTTTATCGAATCATTTCATTCACATCCGATTCTGTCAATGAAATTTCCTTCTCTATGAATACAACGATTAATTAACTAGTGAGAAATAAGTAGTTTGAATTTACATATCAAAACTTCCGAAATGTCAAAGAAGGTTGCCAAAGACTACGAGAACTGTTCGAGTTGTTCACTTCTGAAATGATCCGCTGCTTCGGCGGCAGCTTTCTTACGAACTTTATGGCGTTTTTAACTATCATGATACCATGTGATTCAGAAAAGAGCTCCGATATTGAAGTTGTCGTATTTATACAAGCAGTTATTACAACATACACAGAAACAATGACGAAAAATGAACATGAAATTAAAACTTTATAATATGACGTGCAAATATGAACACAACACAGACGATCAGGAAGAAAACGTAGGCGAACAGAGACGCCCACCACAACTTTCCTTCCCAACGATGGTAACGGAAATTACGAAGGATAACGACGCCTAAAAATACCCCAGCCAAGAATCCGCCGATATGAGAGACATAGGATACCTGAAAAGGAATATGACTTTGCTTGTCAACTGTACGAAATTTAGGACATTACCCTGTCCGTTCTGTCGACGAAATACCGCTGAAAGATGGACACGGCGGCGTCGGACCCGATCATAATCGTTAGGACAATTGCTCGCACCCAGTTGAACTCCATCTGTGAAAAGAAGTTTTGCAGTTGCTACAATTCTAGTCATTGGACAAAACAGATTCTCCCTAAAAACGAGTTAGCCATGACTTCTGGCGGTCACGTTGAATGAATATCCTGCATGAATGTGTTCTTTCCTTTGCAAATATTTAATCTTTTTCCTTCTTCACGGTTTTTGCAGCATCAGATGTTTGCTTATTCTTTTTGTTCTTATGAAAAAACGTTTATAAAGAACAAAGAACAAAAACGGAATTCCACGACGGTATGCAAGCTCACTTCCGACCAATTCATGATGAGTTCAGCAAGATGGGCCGCCAAAAGAGCATAAACGCCTCCAGAAGCACCAGCAAGAAAAACATGCCGATCCACTGCTGCCACCAACAAGGAACCTGAAAGAGTTATTTCACACCTGTATTTAAAAAAGCGAAAAATGAAGGGTGTGACGGGAATTGGACGGCGCGCCATCGCCACCCTGGTTGTGAAAACCATACTTACCTACTTAGATAATTGGATAGCCCGTCTTCACTGGCTGTGAGAGCCTCTGCATAATTTCCGTTTTTCAGAGTTTTGCTGGCCTAGTCATTGCGGTTCCCTGGAGTCCTGAGATCAGCCTGGCCAAAGCCTGCTCCAGTTCGTCACCACCACGGGCACTCACCCACTTTGTGGATCAGAGGAATATTTGCCACCATGTGACTAGTTTCATACCAGGATCGTGGTGAATCCTGGTACTGGTTTACTTTTAGCTAGGATTTCTGATGGAAAACTTGGACTCCTTCTCAGCTTGGAAGACCCTGCCTGGGGATGAGTCGCGCCGCTGTACATCGCAACCCAACACCTGGGAACAACTTCCAGTCACGATGAGACGGCAAACTGTTGGGATGTGTGCTAACCATCCCAATACCAAGTCCAAAATATGGAGGTTTCACCATATTCGATATTTTCATACTATCGGTATTATTATCATTATTACTCGTATGAAATGCTGAGATATTTGCAAAACTCCGGACCACAGGTGTATGCAGTGGAGAACGTACACGCGCTGTTGTCCTTACCGGGGAGCAGCGCACTTCACCACTACACCATCCGGGTCGCGTATGACCAATGGGCATACTCTACTATTCATTCTAGAGTCTTTGGCATTTATCTAAAAAGCCTCGAGAAGTTTTCGTGTTGGTGTTTTAGTCTTCTGTGCACCATCCCACATCAAAAATCGATGCGAACGTACGGGATCAGGTCGCGTATGACCTCCGGGCATTCGTCCCTGCTATTCATTGTAGGGTTTTTGGCATTGATCCAAAAAGCCTCGAGAAGTTTTCGTGTTGGTGTTTTAGTCTTCTGTGCACCATCCCACATCAAAAATCGATGCGAACGTACGGGATCAGGTGGCGTATGACCTCCGGGCATTCGTCCCTGCTATTCATTGTAGGGTTTTTGGAATTGATCCAAAAAGCCTCTAGGAGTTTTCGCGCTGGTGTTTTGGACTCCTGTGCAAGGATATTGACTTTTACTTCAAAATCGTCTCCGCTATGCTTTTGTTCCCTGTGCGTGCCTAGTGAGGTCTATAAAGGTCTGCCCCTTTCGCCAATATATTCATCTTCGCAATTCTTACAAGAAATCAGGTATATCGTACCTGAACTCGCGCTATTACCGTCCCTGCCGTAAGGGCAAATTACGCAATTTGTTGTTTTACATAGACGGTCATACAGGCGGTTACGAACTAACTAACGACGAAGAGTAGCCGGTGGTATTTCAACTATCGCTACCGATTCCTCTAGACCTGCCCTTCTAAAGCATCGTTTAATAGCAACGCTTACTTCATCGCTAATAAAGGCAACATGAACGAGACTTTCTCTTGGCCAAGTGTTTCGCTCGGGCGCGTCGCTCTCCTTCTAAACTTATGTCGTTGGGTTACTATTTCGTAGCCATTGGATATGGCTAATTGCCTAGCCAAGTCGCCCGATTCTTCCTTTAGTTCCCTAGTTGTGCACACAGAGGTGGCTGTTCGAAACATGTTTCTCACAATCGCCCTCTTTGTGTGTGAAGGGTGGGAAGAAAGGAAATGAACAAGAATGTTCTTGTTACTTGGCTTTCCGTACCACTTTATCAAGTAACCGCTACTTGATAGGTTTATCTGAACGTTTAAAAACGGAAACCAGTTTTTTCTCGGTTTCTCCCGGGTGAACTTTATGTATTGAGACTGTTCGCTCAATAATTCAATGCAATTGTCCATTTCCTCCTGTGTAGAGAAGACGACAAAACAGTCATCTTCATATCTGCTGTAGAGTAGTCGCCGGAGATCGAGAACAGGGGCTTCTGTCTTAGACATAAACACAATGGCAAGGCTTGGTGCCAGTCGCTGTCCCATTGCCAACCCCCTTATGTGCGCGAAATATTTCCCAGACCATCTGAAAATCGAGCAGTTTAGGCACTCCTTTAAGAGAGCCATTAGCTGCTGGTTCGTCAAACCATGCATATTTATTCTTCCTTCATGTTCAATAAGAAGTTCGAAGATAGATTGCATTGCAGAGCCATTCGACACATTGGTGTACAGCGCGGTAACGTCGAAGGAGTCGATTACGTACGCGTTACGTAGACGTTCTAGGCACATTTGGGTGTTTGTGAGGTGGGTCGAATGTGGTTAAGCAACTGGGTAAGTGTTAGGCTTAAAAACCAGGTTATTCTATCCGTTGGTCCGTCTACACAGCTGATGATAGGTGTAACCTTAAATGATGACGGATTGGTTGATGCAAGATCTATTTATTTATGTGATCTTATAAACTGATCTTCTTAAGCTGACGCGAGGTTGGTACAGATCTCCGTTGTCGTTGTCGTAGTCGTTGTTTTTGATGTTATTGATCGATGGCTGACGTTTCGGCGACTTCGCCTTCCTCAGAGCCTGGACGTACTTTATGTTAGAATACTTTTTATTATTCGGTGGAAAAAGAAGGTTAAAGTATCAATGAAGATCAAACTTTCAAATAGACGCCATATTGAACAGAAAGGCCACTCACCGTGATGTTACGTGCGGGACTGGCCCACACGTAGAAACCTGGCACGAAAAATTGCCATTTCCAATGGCTACGAAGTAGAAGCCACTCGGGTTGGAGGAAAACACTGGGTAGTTCCCCAAAATAATATTTCAGACGAAAATAAGATTCCCTTTAAGCTGCCCTTCATATCAAATGAAGTAAGTCACGCCATTAAAAAGTGCTTAAGAAAAAGTGGTCTTGAAAATTATGTAACGATTGTTGACATCCCACCCAATACCCTACGCCGCCAGTTCGAAACCGTCTCTATGATCGTTTGTGCAGCTCAGAAAACTGTATGATCTGTCCTAACGGGAGAGACGGGGATTGCATGAGTTTAGGTATAATATACTTGATCTCATGTAATGC